TTTACTCAGTATTTTGCTTGCATGAGAGGTAGTACAGCTTCCTGCTGCCTAGTTTTGTTCTGGGTCTAAGGGAAGAAAGTTCCAAACCCTTCTGTGATATTGAAGCCAGTCCAGGACAGGCAGAACATGTCAACATAGACAAGATGTACCAAAGGATATAACCTGGGACAGGGATGAAGTCTGGCTGGGGTTGCTTGGGACCCTAATTAAAAGCCCAAGTTATTTATCTGAACCAATCGTTTTGTCATGAGCTGCAAGAGAAGTTCCTAAAGTAGTTTTGAACTTACTGTGTGAAATGCAATTATACCTTATGACAGCAGCAAAGGTGCCCTTGAGACCTTTCTTCTCTTTGCCCCTCTGCTTTGAAAAGTCATAACACTACATGTTGGCAGAGAAATCATGTCAAAATATTTCTGAGCTGTACTACAATAAAGTATTCTGCAGTAAGAGATCATTTTGACTTGACCTGTTTTCAACTGAAGAGCTTGGGTGTGCCATTCTATTTCGACTATTAATTACTCAAAAGACAGCTTAGCTACCAGTGAAGAGAGGAAAAAGGAAAGCAGATCATGAGTATTGAAATCTATGGGAATTTTAATGGAAAATTAAAACAAGATAATAAATCTTATGGTAAGTCCACAAACCTCTCGAAGGTTTGAACTAAGAAAACAAGGACTCTTTTCAGGACTTAACAGATGTGTCCCAATTTATGTAAAAAATTAGGTTTGGCACAATTGTCCCTGAATTGCATGCTGTCTTTCTGGATCTGTAGTTTTGTGTTCTCACACAGCTAAAATGTCTTACCTTTCCAAATGGGAAAACTTATAAAATACACTGTTAACTTATGCACGTATTCCTCCAGCTTTAAAAATGAGCCATTAACTTTTGTTGGAAATACTAAGAACTGCAAAATACCCAATGAAACATGACTGAAAATAGAGCTGTTATAACAGCCAGTGGAGGAATGCTAAGGTTATTTATTTTTTTAATCACAATCGTGTATCTCCCTTTCCCAAAGCTCATATTCATATCTTCCTGTTCAGTTAAGATCAAGAAGGACTGAAAAGGGTTTCTAGAAAACTGCATATACAGAGAACAAATAGACTATTATTATGGACAGCAAGATTCTTTGTTATTCATCTGGCAGCTGGGAAGTTCCATGAAGGCCCTGGAAGAGGGGGCTGGCCTGAGCAACAAGCCACTCATTAGGTAAGAGGAGATGGCATAGCTTCCTGGGACTGTCAGAGCCACAGCAGAGGCACCTGGGAGGTGTCTGATGTGTAATGTTGGGCCCAGGTCCCACTCAGGACCACTCAAGTCTCATTCAGGAACACTAAGTACAGCATTATCAGTACTATTCAAATCTCTTCAGGAAAAAAAAAAAAAAAAATTGTCTTTGTACTTGGATTAGTTTTATCATTCTTTCTCCTTCATTTCTCCCTTACCCATCATGCTCCATTACATGATAAATTTGGAAAGGTCACAGTAACTACTTTCAAGTAAGTGTGTACATTCTTTAAAGCATCACTTCTCAAGATTCTTGGGAAAAATGAAAGGGTCACCTTTTTTTTTTTTTTTAAGGTGCAATGATTTTAATACAAGAAGACAGAGACTAGAAATCAAATCACTAATCAGGGACTTATATTCACATTTGATACACCCCTTTCCTCACAACCTTCCTCCTTATTTTGCTCAGAGGCACTTTCTGATACCAGAAATAGCACATTACTGATCACATGGCTTGGGTGGACTTTTTTCTCCAATTGTAATATGCAATTAGATGTGCTAGCCTGAGTTTCAGTATTCCAGGGAGACTTAGGTGCACTACCCAAGCAACAAAAAATGTGAAAGAAATTAGTGAAAAGCTCATGACCTGCAGGGGAGCAAGGCTATTTTACTTCAGCAAAGACTGTGACTTGTAATCTGATTGATAGTTTTCAGACAATTGGTTCTCTAGATCTAAAAGTGATACAGGTTTAAACTTGACTTAAATTTAGCTGTCAGTAGCAATGCAGCAAATTTGTATTTTCTCTGAGTGCCATCTTCAAATGTTGTGAAATAGCAAGTGGAAATTCACTCAATCTCACTGTGATCTCACCCATAACCAGACCTTCCTGAACACTCATTATTAGCATTTTGACTTCTATGTCAGTGTTCCATGTTGGGGCTCCTGTGTGAAACACACAACAGAAGGATTCTCCCAGCAATCACCTCCTCAGCAGCAAACCCATGGCTACAGGCAAACTCCAAATCTCCTGGGTGAATGCTTAATACTTGCTTACATGGGAATATGTGAAAGAGCAGGTTTCTGTCAGCACCACCATGGTGAAAGGAAGGTAGTTGGAGCTGGCAATAAAAATCCATTTGGAGTGGCTGCATGGCTGGAAGTTTGAACAGTGGGAACTTGACAGGGATGTACAAAGGGAATAAAAGACTGAGAGGTAGGAGAAGATAAAACAAAATCTGCCCAACTACATTGACTGTATCATTATAAAGGACTGAGGCACTGAAAGTGTAAGCACACTGACCTTGCCCAGCTGTGTGCTGCCTTTTTGGGACCTGACCTGTGGGGAAGCTGCCCCAGCCACACACAGCCTTATTGCCAAGAGCCAAGAGAGCCTTCCATAAAGAGAGAACAGGGAAAATGGAATCTCCTCTACTGTCTCCTCCAGCTTCACCCCAGCATCATTTGGTCTCAAGAAGTTTTGTGCTTCAGTTTTGTCAGTGAATCTTGCTGTCTGTCTGGCATGTTGTGAGCACAGTAACAGTCCAGCTTAAACAGTGCATCTGTCTCCTCTGGGAAGACAGCAGAGGAAGAAGGACAGCAGCACACCTCATGGCATGCCATCCCATCTGAGGGACTCCCTGCACCTGGAAAGAAATTCACTATTTTCCTCAGTGATTAACCACCTCAGGTCAGTGCAGTAGGCAATGCCAAAGACAAAACTCTTTCTCTAGATTTCCAGGACCATGAAAGTGACTAAGAGACTGCTTGAGAGTTAATTTAAAGATGTGCTCTGTAGGATGAGTTTTAAAGCTGACTCAGAGGCTGATGGTTCCACAATATTCTGCACAGATTTATGACAGCTGGAAGCTAACCCTACAGCTGAAGGCAACCAACACTGTTTTCCAATCTTCAGGGCATTTCCCAGAGCAAAAAGACTTATATATAGAGAGCTAAAAATTATGCCGTATGTTCTGTGTGTTTATAAGGTGCAGGAGTAAATACCCTGCTGTGGTACCTCACATCTGCAAACAAAGAACTGTGAAAAATGCAGGCCAGATAATTTCTGTGTTGGGAGGCACCAGCCTTCTGTGACAATTCTCAGCTAAGCATGAAGACCAGGAAAGCTGAGTTCCAGGAAGATTCTTTTCCTGAGGTGTTAAATTTACAAGAAAGTGTGACATCAGCTACAGAGGTGCCAAGAACACCAGTCATGAATTGAAAGGGGATGTTACTATTGTTCCTGTTCTGAAAGGAGGAGAACCAGACAAAGGGGTGGGTTCCACCTTTTTGAGTGAAGCACATTTCTCAATGCCAGTTAAAACCAATCATTTTCACTGTTAATACACAGTGGCACAGCAGAGAAGAGCTACAGGTTAATGCTGCACATTAGCTATCAATTTGATTTGATTAGTAAAAAGTATCTATCCCAAATCTGCCCAAGCTCCTCCCCTTCAGGGTGGCTCATCGCATCTCCATGTGTAAAGACAATATCAAAATGTACCTGCTATCAATATTATATAACATCCTCCAGTGATCACAGCACAATCAGATTATCTCTCACTAAAGGACCTCAGTCAAAGTGTTCAGAGAATAAAGAAGCAAGACAGATGCTGCTGTTGAGAAATTTTCATAAGAATCATAAAAGAAAAGGGGGAACAGTTACTGCTTTTCTTCAGCATTAACACTTTTCAAATGGAACATTCTATTTGCGTCAATGTCAGCTCAAACTAGGCTTTGGGTATGAAGCCCTGGTCTTGGGGAAGGCAACAGAACTTTTTCCTTCTGATTTCAGGGAGGTTTCACAGTTTGCTTGAGATTTTTCTCTCAAATTAAAAGAGCAGATTCTTTTATTGTTTAAGAAATTTAGGTTGGATGAAGCAGGCCAAGAATGATCTCAGGCTGTGGCAAAACTTGAATATATTTGCCTGTTACATTTTACTCTTCCCTTGTCTCAGCTCCATAATAATATAATGCTGCTGTTGGTAAATACTAAGGGTGGGCTCCAGCATACACTGAGCAAGAAAAGATAAAGGGTGTTTCTTTGCTTTGTAATGATGTAATGGACATAATGAAGAATGAAAACTGAGAATAGCCTCTAACACATAATCTAATAAAAAAAAGTTTTCATAAACTATGCATATTTTTCAGATTTGCTACTGCAAAACGCTTTTAAAACTTCCAGATCTGCCATTATCAAACTTCAGAGTCAGAATTGTCAACACAATGAGGGACCTGAACTGGATGCAGGCATTTTAGCATGCCTACTTATGAGACAAAATTCATTATCTATTTTGGCATGTAGCTGAACTGTGAATTTAACAGTAAGGATGTAGATGTCTACAAAAACAGGAACTGAAATTATGTTTGGTTTCAAGGGGATCTATCATGAAAATGGTATTTATAAATGGTCTCCTTTATTTTGTTTTCAAGGTTATGAAATCCCTTTGTCTCCTTGTCCATTTTCCCTCCCACTCCTCAACCTCACCAAATGTTTGAGTATTCTTCTTGTAAATACCTTTGGCAACAAACTCTGAAGGATACAAATTAATACCCCGTGTGACCTCAGAAGAGCACAAGCAATTTCTGTAAGCAAACATTTTTCCTGTTATTTTGCTGTTGTTTGCAAACACCTCCACCTCAGGACTCCAGCACTATTGTTTGGACAAGTTTTCAAGGTCCTTAAAGATACATCTGCGAGACTGGTAGTCACAATAGACAAGAATGTTTAATGGACTCTGAAGAAAATGCAATTTAAAAATAATGTATGTCTTACCTGCTTATTCATAAGTATGTAGATAATGGGATTGCAAACAGTGCTGCTTTTTGCTAGGATGGAAGGTATGATGCTTGTAACTGGAGCCACAACACCTGGCTTGCCAAATGTAGCCAGTAATGCTATAACCCCATATGGAATCCAGCAGACCAGATAACAGATAACTGTAGTGATCACCATGAACAGGACGTGGTATTCTCTTTTGCGGGCAGCATTCTTGTGGATTTTTCCAACCTAGGGAAAGGTTTAAAAGAGAGAGAAAATTCAGCAAATGGAGCTGTTGGATTGACTGCATGAAGAACCTGGGACTATTGGTCTTGGGTCAGCAGTAACAATCAACACTGTAGTCCCAGCAGCAAAACAAATGCAAACCCAAAAGTGATTGAATGCAGTGAAAAGACTTCCATCATCTCCATTAGGCATTAGGGGAAGCTCTGCAGAGACCACACTGCATGCCAGCATAAACCAGTCTCAGAAGAGGTTGGACCAAATGTAGAAAGGTGACAAAGCATGTAGTCCTTAACAGATATTAGGTCACCTGCAGTTGTTTTTAAGGTATGGAATTTTGTGTAAACGTACCATGTTTTCATTCAAATTATGCCAGTACACAGAACTTACCTGAGATGAACAAGCTTTATATAGCACATCTGAACCACCAGAAGTATTTCCTGTTAAGGGTGTGGAAAAAGCAGAGCAACACTAGGACTGTGCTTAGTATCTCTGTCCTTGCACCTTTTCTACACTAGATCAAGCCTCAGCTGGCCTGGCATAGTGTTAGCCATGGTCATACTTGGAGCAGGACACCAGAGAAGCCTTGCTGAATCACTTGAAGTTTCAAGTGATAAGATTCATTAATTCCAGACTATTTCTTCCTGGTACTAAACCATTTTGATAAAAGGGCTTCACTCCTGATAATGATCAGAAACAGGTTTCTGTGCTCTTAAAATGTGTGCTGAGTGCTGACTCACTGTGGTTCATGGGGTTCTTTTGGGAAATAGAGTAGAATGAGCTAAAGAGGAAAAGCAGGTGCAAATGAGCAGTGTCAAAGTGATGGTACAAGAGTCTATCTTGTTACTATGAATTTTCCAGTAGTTAGTGTGTAGGAAAATCTGCTGTGGAAGTATTTATAATCTGTGCTTCAAAATTTATTCTCTTTTAGCCTGTCCTGGATTGAAGCATCATGCCCTTTGGGATTCTAGAGCTCTAAGATAAAGCTTTAACACTAAAATAACAGTCAACTTTTATTTTTAAGCCTTGATATGAATACATTTTTCTGTAGACAACTACAGAATGCTCTTCCAGTGTTTGGGCAGTTGAGTGCATTGGTGGTAAAAGTGAGGAACAAGGTCATTCCCTAAAAATCCAAGCAAACTTTGCAAGGAGGTCAGTTTTGGAGATTCTCTCCTCACTGACTCTAGATGGAGACTCAGCACACTGGTCTCCTGAGGTTATAGCTGATTCCTCAGCTTTACCCCAGTGTGTGTTTTCCAAACTCAAATGTGCCAGCAGGGCTTCAGGAACTATTCAAATGTTTAAACTATATTGATTGAGCCTTGTACTCAGCCAGATCTAATTTATGTCCACTTTAAGGTCCTTTTGCCTCTTGAGTGCAGCACTTGAGAGTAAATTGCACCCAGGAGAAGGAAGCCCATGTACAACTACAAGCATAAATGAGCAAAAAAGCAGCTCTGTGTAATGGAACACATCCAAACTTTACTTAATCAAATAATAAAAAAAGAATTTTAAATCAATAGGTTTAAATTGATGCAGGTAAATGAATAGAGCATAGTTAAAGGTGGAAGTTACCAACCATCCCAGACAAATGTCATTTGCTGTTGCCTGACACATACCTTGTGCATGCCAAGGAAATAGAGCTTTTTCTACCTCTTTGTAGTGTGAATCTCTTTGCATAATGTGTCTATGTATCAGATTGTGAATTAAACACATATATAGTGACTGTAGAAAGTACACATGAAGGCAAAGGAATATGGTTGCTGTTTCTTTTTAGTTCATTTTGACTCTAGGCTTCTAGAGTGCTTGGTTCTATCTGGAGTTTCAGTGGAAATGTTCCTGTAAATGAAACACACTAACTTTGTCTGCTTGAAACTAATAAGTATTTTTCCTGACTGCTTTTTAATGATTTTCTACAAAAAGGCAATAACAAAGTCTATCCTTTCTGAGAAGACTTGGGACTGTTTTTATAAGAGCGAAACCTGTTTATTTTATAATTACTTTAGCTTGAAAAAAGGATTAATAATAGATAATGGTCCAATCATGCATTGCTTATTTGAACTAAATTTTTCATGACTAATTGGAAATTTCTCTGACTGATGGATCCAGGATCCCATGTGAGCTGCAGCTATGCTACAAATTAAATATTAGACTAGGATGCAAAGCCCCAGCCAGCCATGGCATCCACAGCTGAAGATCTTCAATAAACACAGAAGGATCTGGGTTTTTTGCTGTGTTTAGATATGTGTCTTGAAGAGTTTGCAAGAATTTACCATCAACACAGACAAAATGGAGGCCATAAATGAAGGAAGGAAAGATGTCTAAAGTGGCTATGGATGTGATTTTGTCATGTATCCTTCCACTTTCACATCTTTAAGTCATTTCCATAGGAAGGGAAGTTTTGAAATCATGTACCATATTTGTCCTCACAGTCTTGGTTTCATTGCCTTTGCAGTTTTGCAGCCTACCTTTAGAAGGTGTTATCTTTAAAAATTTTCCCTTTATAGGTACTGGAATGCCTCCAGCAAAATATAACTTAGATTCATGTAACCTACAGAAAGATTACACTTCTGCAGGTAAAAAAGCACTAGACATCTTAACAGTAAAATAATTCTATTTGTTATTTTAAAACTACTGGACAATTTAACACAATTGCTACGCTGTATTTTCAGTAGTCATATGGAAATGCCTCCCTGGATATCCAGCTGGTAGAAGAGCATCAGAAAGTGAAGAGGAAAAATAGATTCAAATAATAGTCTAGAATAGTTGAGCTTGTAGATCTCTGTCTAAATGTGAACATACACGGTATATATAACATACATTTAAAATAATTAGAAGATCTAAATCACATTTTAAAATGGCACAAGAAACACTGGCCCATTGGGATCAGATTGTACTTATATAGGACAGCTGGAAAAACCTTCTTTGCTGTAAAATCAGCTGTTTTCTCTGGGAGAAAGATCATCTCCCTCCAAATATAGCAACATAAAGGTTGGGAAACCTTTATATTTAAAGAGAAGAAGGTTGGGGAATTGGTTGTTGACGGCTTTTTAATGAGGAAATTGTGTTTCTCCCCTGCTTTCATCCTGGGAAGTAGCAGATATGTTTTGTTTTTTCAGAACGCAGCTGGAGGCAGCGAGAGGCAAGCTTGTTTAATCTCAGGCACTGAGCGTAACAGTGGCACAATTAGCTCTGGTCTGGATTTGCCCTGCAGCCGTGCTGCGTCTCACATATACCCAACACTTTTTTCAAGTCAATCTGACACAAAAAATACCACAACTTAGATCACTAGGGCAGCATGCCGAGTACATACATTAGATGTGACAGGCCACTGAGTGTGGGAGAAGCCAGGGTGGTGTTCAGTGAGGAGGCTGGCATGGTAGAAGTGTCCTCAGAAGGAGACCAAGTGACACATTGATTGTCAGAAGGAGACCAAGTGACACATTGATTGATTGACCTCAAAAGCTGCATCCACAGCTGACAGGATGTAGCAGATACATCACTCACCAAGTGATGGGCTGCACTGCTATTCCATTCTTTGGAAAAGATGGAACTGGGGAGCCCTGAGCAGAGCATAGAAAATTTCAATAGCACTGGTGAAAGACTGGAGAGGTCGTAAACCAAAGACAAGGGGACCTTACAACATGAATATAGAGAGGGTTAGTAAAAAGAGATGCAAAAAGCTTTTGCTGTAACTGTGGAGATGGTTAGGTTGTATATTCAAAGAAAGGATTCAAGATATTTGCTGTGACAGGTACTCAGCAAGGAGAGAGAAAAGCCTTTAAACTGGATGCAGGCAAATGTGTGGGCCTGTCACAACAAGGACCCAGAGAAAAGGTATGACCTAGAGGAAGCTTGACTTCCTCTAAGGAGAACAAGTCTGTCCTTAAAGAGAAAAGAGGATGGGTCTGTCCTTGCAGAAAACAAATAAACCTTCCAAACACATAAACTCTGTTGTACAGTGGTATGAGAGATAATACTAGGAGTGCAGGTCATAGGAAATGGTTAGCAGGTTCTGGTTACCCAATTTAGGTACTGCAGGTGTCAGTCCAGACCTCATCACTGTCCAAGTCAACTGGTTCAGTCAACCTGCTCCCGGAGGGAGCAGCCAGATGACAACCACGCTGGGTCCATGGGTTCTTGTCTGGCCAAACACTGGAGCTTTTCAGCCCAGACAAAAAAGGACAGCAGCTACCTGCCTCTGCTTTAGATATTTTTTAGCCATCCAACAGCTTCATATGGAGAAGAGACCTGAGCAGCACCTTGCCCAGGGAAACAGCCTTCCCCTTCCTGTTCTCCAGAGCCAGAAGTCTGATCTACTGCAGCCCCTTGCTCAGCTCTCTCTGGATTTATCTGGGCATGACTTATGGGACTAAGGGAATACTGGTGGCACTTCATCAACTCAGAAGAAGTCAGTAAAGACCTGAAGGATATTTGTGCATTGTGGTTGTGAGGCAACTGCGAGGCCCACAGTGCCAGAGGCACATATGCAGTCAGTCCATTATATTCCCATCATCCATGGGCAAGTTGGGTTTTCTTTATATATGTAAGGCAAGGGAGCAGGGCCAAAGTTAGCTATTAAGAAGGGGAAGCTTTAATAATGAAGATTTAACCTGACAGTTTTGAATTCCCCTGTGTTTTCATTTTCACATTTACCCTAGTCTCTCCTCCTTACTTAATACAGCTATGTACTTTATCTCATAAAGCATTTCCTTCATATTTTAGCTCCATCCATTTTCAACTGTGAACATCCTTAAAGGTTACAAAGAATATATGGCATCCCATCCATCTAACCTCTGGATGGAAGAGTATGCACCATCCAAAGCCACTTCAAGCAAGGGACATGTACTTCATAACATCTTAGAAGTCAGAGGTCCTGTAACTAAGTAAGTTTTGTCCTTCAAGTCACTTTCTCAAGCTATTTATTAAGATGGGAAATAGTATCACTAACTATACCCTGTGCACCTAAATAGTGGATGCTGTAAACATCCTTTATGTAGATT